CCAGAAGAGAAGAGAGAGAAAGCAGCAGAAAGAATATTTGAAAAAATAATGACCAAATTATTTACCAAAGTTTATGAAAAACATTAATCTACATAGGCAAAAAAAGATAAATTATTCCTGATTCTTCTGCAAAAGAGACATAGAAGTGGCCAATAAGCACATGCAAAAATGTTCCACATCATTATTCTTTAGGGAAATGCAAACGAAAACCACAATGAGAAACTACTTCACACTCAGTAGGATGGCTAAACTAAAAGGCAATAACACATTGACAAAGGCGTGAAAAAATTCAAACCCTCATACACTTCTGGTAGGATTGTAAAATGGTACAGATATTTTGGCAAACTTGTAAACATTTTGGCAGTTTCTAAAAATATTAAGCATTGAGTTAACAAATGACTCAGCAGTCTTCTAGATATTTTAAAAGATACATCCACATAAAAACTTGTACAGTCATGTTCATAGCGGCATTACTTCTAACAGCCAAAAAGTGGAAACAATTCCCTTATCCAACAACTGACATATGGATTAATAAAATGTGACATATTCATATAATCAGATACTATTCAGCAATAAAAAGAAAGTACTAATACATGATACAACATGTATGAACCTTGAAAGTAGTATGCTAAGTGAAAAACGCCAGTCGTTAAGGACTGTCTATATGATTTAATTCAGAAAAAACCCAGTTTAGGCAAACCTATTGAGATAGAAAGTAGATTCATGTTTGCTGAGGGATGGGGGTTGAAGCGATATGGGGGGCGTCTGCTAATGGTGACAAGGGTTGGGATAATAACAATGTTCTAAAATTGATTTTGGTGATGGTTGCACAACTTTGTGAGTGTGCTAAAAACCGTTGATATACACTCTGAATGAGTTCATTTTATGGAATCTGAATTATATCTCATTAAAGCTGGTTTTAAAAGAAAGGATTGTCTGTGGAGTGGGGTCTCATGTAGGGGTAAAGAAGAGTGAATAAACTTCCTCTTCACGGTCTATTTGTATCAGCCTAGTTCTTTTCTCCTCTTTCTCCTTGTTTTCCTCTTCCCTTTTCATTTCTCTTCTTCTTCCCTCTCCTCCTTCCTCTCCTCCCCCTCCTCTTCTTCTCCTTCTACATATTTCAAACTCAAAACTACACAGCAAACCAACTTGTATAGAGCTTGATCTAAAACTTTCTCTAGTTAACCAAACTAACTCCTAATTCTTTTAAGATTAATTTGTGAGCTCCCACTTCTTATGTGTTCTATAAGCAGCCTGTAAGCAATTCTTAGTACTTATATATGATATTGCCACATATTATTAAAATAACTTAGTGTTTTATCATTCTTGATAGACTTTGACTCCCCATCCCCCACCCCAGGGGCTGAACACATGATTATATTCCTGACAGTAGGTATTCAACAAATGTCCATTTATTGGGACCAGAATCTTAGAACCTTAGTTTCTCACTTAGTGGATTCCCATTTTACCTCTAGTTATGGTCTAGTTATAAAAGTTCAACATTAAAAATTTCCCAGAACGAAGGACTTCGTGAAGTCTCTATTAGACAGACTCTAACTGCTTGGAGAAGGAACTGTGCCCTCTGTCCTTGTTTTCTCCACAGGCTGTGTAACACGTGCTCCTTCAGCATTGGGTTGTTAATTTTTCCAAAGCTAATAAGAAGCATGTCAATCACTCTGGAATAATGGCAAACCCACTGGCAAGATCTTAATTATGTGTGAATGTGGATGATTCACTTATAATAGAATTTCCTTTTACAGGAAGACAGATTTATATCATGTTGATCAAGCTTTTGTAATCATGTCGTAGAGATCATATCTTTTGAACTTTCTGCTCCAGCAGTGTGACCTTGGGCAAAGCAATTGCTTCATTTCTCAGTTTCTCCATGTATATAGTGGGGATATTATCAACCTCATCAGTTTATTGAAAGGCCTAATGAACGAATACACACCGATATGTCTGGCACGTGGTAGGTGGCCAATAGTTGTTTGTTATCGTCATTGTAGTTAAAGAATGTCACCCAAGCGTTACTCTGTGTAAATACTGAGCCTAGAACTTCCTATGGAGAAATGTTAAATAATGTGGATGAGGAGCTTTTAGCACGTTGTGATCACAGAGCTCTGCACACTTTATCTCATTTGATTGTTCCAGCAAGTCTTAGGAGACAGAACAAGCAGGAATTATTTATTAGTATACTCCTTTTGTAGATGTGGAAACCAACCTTAGTTAACTGACCCCATAGTTCTTCAGGAACTGGGTAATTGGTTTATTTGAACTACATCCTGAAGAAAAATAAGTGCTGATAAAGATCACCTGTTTTGTCTTTATTTGGCCGAAGTTCTTATACTGAGTTTGCAACACTCTTGCCATGGTTTCAGGGGTGTGATATTTCAGTGTTCTGTATCTTCTTTTAGTTATTTATACTCTTATATACCCAGTCTTTCCCCCCTTCTTTTGCCAGTTAAAGAAAAATAAATAAATGAATAAAACAAAACTGTATGCTTCTTAGTTTCAGGAATCACTGGCTTCCAGGTATCTCTAACCACGGTACCTTTGTTAATAAGCATCATGTAGCCCCTCTGTGCTTCAATTTCCCATCTGTAAAATGGGGATAACAATACTCACCTCTGCGGGCTTCCTGAGTACTGAGTTAATACAGAGTACTGAGAACAGTGCTGTGAAGTGAGTGTTCAGACAACATTGCTGGAACCTTGAGGCCAGCACCCTCCAGAGAGGCACCTGGCTTCAGGGACTCATTCAGGCCACCCCCACTTTGCTCTCAGTCTCCTACTGGCGCTCTTCCTGTATACCAATGAAAATTACAAACCACGCATGGCTTGAAGCAAAGGGTAAAAGAAGAAAGCGATCAAAGAGAAAACAATGCGAGGAAAAAAAAAAAAAAAAAGTGACACAGGTGGCCAGGCACAGTGGCTCACACCTGTAATCCCAGCACTTTGGGAGGTTGAGGCCTGTGGATCACCTGAGATCAGGAGTTTGAGAACAGCCTGGCCAACACGGTGAAACCCCATCTCTACTTAAAAAAAAAAAAAAAAACAATGCGAGGAAAAGAAACAGTGTGGTAGACATGCCTTGGTGAAGGACAGGAAGGTTAGAGGAGGACCTGAAGGGATATAGGAAAGTCACTAGAGTCACTATTGAATGGTTTGAATTTAAAACGTGTTTCCCTCCCTTATCCTTTCTCTTTAACATACTGGTTAATATAAGGACTTTTGGTAACACTTTTCATTTTGCTATAAAATTATGAGTATGCATATATGTGTATGTGAGGTCAAAATTATTCCATTTCTTAAAGGTCAATTATCCTTAGGTAAAAGGAGAAAAACACTAAACACATCCAGGGATATGCACTGCAACAAAGGCTTCAATTCACAAGAGTAAGAAAATGAAGCCTCCGGGGAAAGTTAGCATACGGAGCCCTGTTGTATCCCACTTCTCTGTATGAAACTATTTCTCATTTCTGTTATGTGCCATGCCACTGTGTAGGCTCTTAAATACTTCAGATGATTACTGGTTAATATTTAGATGTCAGTGCTTCCAATAAATCCTTTCTCTTCACAGTGTCTAAAACAAATTTCTCTTTCATAGAAATATGTTATGCCTATTAGTTTAGTAAAATTTTGTGTTTCAAGGGAATGAGAACAACAAAACTTTCTGAGTCACCACAAGATGATTTATATGTTTTATTCTAGAAAACATTCCTATGTGCTTGAACGTTATTTAAATACTGGAAAATTTCAGCACTCTAAACTAGGCCGGCGCCATTGACTCTTCAGGGTCACCATCCTGTCTTTGATGTCTTCCTCCAACTAAGTAGACCAAATGTGTTCTTACCCCTAATGAGAGGGAGACTGCATGAAGTAATTAATAGGGAGACAAAGATAATGTACAGAGATGAAGTCATCCTACAACATTTATCACCTTCGGTCTAGAGCCAGGACTCATTCAACCTGTCCCAAATAAGCAAATGTCTTTAGAGAAGAGAAGGAAGTACTTAAAATGTATCCATATCTTGGAACCAAAGACAGGATTTTACTTCCAGATCACTTAATTAGAAAATGTAGCTGAACCCAAACAACACTGGTTTAAACCAAATGGGTCCACTTTTAGGCAAATTTTCTTCCACCTCTGCCACCCTTAATATCGCAGGACCAACCCCTCTTCTTCCTGCTCCTTGGCCTACTTAACATGAAGATGACAAGGGTGAGGAGCTTTATGATGATCCACTTCCACTTAATGAAGAGTAAATGTATTTTCTCTTCCTTATAATTTCTTAATAACGTTTTCTTTTCTCTGGCTTACTGTATTGTAAGAATACAGCATAAAATACATATAGCATAAAAAATATGTGTTAATTGACTATGCTATTGGTAAGGCTTCAGTCAACAGTATGCTATTAGTAAGTACATTTTGGTGGAATCAAACATTCTATGAAGATTTTTGACTGTCCGGGGTTTGGCAGCACCCCAACCATTGTTCTGTTCAAGTGTCAACTCTACACATAGTCTAAAATTTCTCGCTTTAAACTGGTTGCATCTTAACCTAATACTTTTTTTTTTTTTTTTTTTTTTGAGACAGAGTCTTGCTCTGTCACCAGGCACCAGGTGGGAGTGCAGTGGCACAATCTTGGCTCACTGCAACCTCTGCCTCCCTGGCTCAAGCAATTCTCCTGCCTCAGCCTCCCGAGTAGCTGGGACTACAGGTGCGCACCACCACGCCCAGCCAATTTTTGTATTTTTTTTAGTAGAGACGGGGTTTTACCATGTTGGCCAGGATGGTCTCGATCTCTTGACCTCATGATCTGCCTGCCTCGGACTTCCAAAGATACTTTTCTTTAACTACATTAGATACATGGTAACTCTCAGAAGTTATTCTTTATTCTCTTTATAATTATAAAAATTGTACTGTGTCTATTAATGAAAAATTAAGTTCATACAACTTGATACAAGTTTGTCATATTCATGTGTGTGATGTATTTATAATTAAACATCACAGATAACTGCAAGCTCTGTATTTTAATTAATAAAATGTTCAAATTCCCAAAGTAACCTGAGATTGATAGCAGCCGCAATTCAGTACTTGCTGTTTTCCAGTTGCTTGGACATATCCACACTGTGAACATACCCCCCAAAAAGGCGGAAGCTTTTTGTGTACCTATGGTATGCTTGTTAGTGGAAACAATGCAAGAACATGGGGTTTGGTAGCACATTGAATGGAAATCTTCACAGTTTGACAGGAAAGGCCCGATGAGTGAACTCCATGTTGTTTTGTCTATCAATCTGAAGAAGTGAAAGAAGTGCCATCCCAGAATATGCGAGATTGGGATATTGATTATTTTGAGTTGAATACGCTGAAGAAATTGTAGTTTCAGCAAGGGCTAGCTGGCCTTCTCTTGCATCATGTAGCAAGCCATGAGCATACCCCTTGGAGGGGTACTCTCCTCCTCCCCATACAAGGGTGAGGAAATAGCCTGATCACAAGAGACAGGGAATGAAGGGCTGCAATGGACCTTAATAAATGTACTTTCTGAAGTAATCCTTATTTCTCACTAGTTTTACAACCCCCCCCCAAATATCTTCTATTTCCCTAGAAATACACTGCCCCAGTCCGATTTTCTTTATCCTGTAGTTTTTTTTCTCAAATTCACCGTTCTTTGCCTAAAAAGTATGAAAGCAAATTGTTTGGACCACTCCTTCAGTCTTGTTTCTCATGTGAAAATCTCCACATACATGGAAAACTGATAAAATGTGTATGCTTTTTTCTTGTTAATCTGCCTCATGTCAATTTGGTTTCTAGATTCAGTTGAAGAGCTCACTGACAGCTGAAGGGGTTTGGAGTTGATCTCAAGCTCGCCTGCAGATCAGCTGCAAGTTCTAACTCTAAGAGGAGAAGGTGTTTTCCCATTAAAAGAACTGGGTATATATTTAGGAATGACGTACATAAGTAAAAACTGGTTAAAGTACCATTTTCATGTAAAGCATGCACTTTAATACCAATCCAAAGATTATAAATTCAAGGTTTTAGTATCTGCAGTAAAATAGTCAGTGGTATCTGAGATCAAGAGAGTGGGTAAGAAGCAGAGAAGGAACGTATCACGGAATAGAATGCAGGCGGGATGAGTTTTCTGCTTCTCGATTGCGATTGCGTCGTCTCGTTGGTAGTTAAGGTTTTCCTATTCTGGCTGTAGTATCTGCAGAGGTTGCAGCACGCGGGTTCCTGCTCTGGTAAGTTGTGATCCTCTGTATTCGCCTGTCGGTCTCTCCTGTTTTCGGGGCAGCAGTTTTCCCTGTGACTTCACTTTTCTTACGGATCTAAGATGTGTTGCTTTTTCAGTTTATTCAGTGTTTTCTTTGTTGTTGGGACAGAATGCTGACTTCCAAGCTTCTTACCTGCTAGACTGAATATCACCTTCATTCTTAGAGGAAAGGTGATTTTGAGCCTACCTATGAGCTACGAGTTCATTGCTCCATGTTAGCCAGAGAAAGTTTAGTTTGGCTGGTAGTCACATTTGCGAAGAATCTGGAAGATGTGTGCCTGGGTGCAAGGCGGCTTGCATAGAAGTCTCCCTCCTGCCCTCCAGGGATGAAGGGTGCCCTACACCCTCCCAAGCTGTGGCTAGAATCTCTTTGGTATTGCAGAGAGGTAGAAAAGAGAAGTGGGACCGAAACAGAAAAGATGTTTCTAGATGTTTGGGGCATGTACTTAAAGCATCCCAGAGACAAAAAAATCGAGAAAGGTATGTTTGAAAAGGATTATTAGTAAATGTTTGCTCCCTGGAAACAGATTATGTTTCTACATCCTTCAAAAAATTACAGGATACAGTACAGGGGCACAAAGTAAAGTCTGAGGTTGTTTCCAAATGTGAATATACTTGAGATTTATTTTCTCCTAACGTTTTCCTTGTGAAATCAACTCTTAGAAGAAGAAAATTCCCCTAAAGACCCTGTATCCCACTGAATTAAACTGTAAAAAAAAATTATTTCAGGTGCATTTCTCCAATTTAGTTCCCTCCAGTTCACAGGAAATCTTGTTAAAATTTCCAGCAGAGGAGAATATTGTGAACTTGGCCCGAATCCTGCAACTTGGGGTGGAGCCCGGAAACAGCTGCTCCGGTCGTTGTTCCCCTCCCTGCTGCTTTTCCCTCATTCACAGTCCTGGGGTTGTGCTAAATGCCGCCCGTAGAACAAAATTATCTCAGTGCTGGTTGCCAACCAAAGAAAGGCAGTGAGCTGATTAAACAAAGCAGAAGATGCCCGCCTTCCTTCCTAGAGGTGTTAAATTACTAGCTTTTTTTTTTTTTTTTTTTTTTAAGAAATAACAAATAGCAGGGGGCATACAGCAGTTGGTGAGTAGAAACCACACATTCCATCTTGAAATCTTTGTTGTTTTTGCAGGGATGCCCAGGACAGTGGGGGCACCTTCCTTAGGGCCTGGCCTGGGCTCCGGCTGCTCATCACTCTCCAGTTTCTGATTCCCATCTAACTGAACCTACCTGTCCCCCTTGATCACTCTCTGCCATCCCCATTATAAATATATTTCCCTCTTCTTCTCAGTTAAATATGGTCCAAATTGAACTTGTCATTTTTACCCTTCAAGTCCTATTTTATAACAAACAAAAATTTCTACTGGCAATCCGGCCTTCCCTGGGGCTGCCCAGCTGCCGTTGGGGTGATTAGGGTGTTTCCTGCAGCTGAAGTCTCTTGTAATTAGCAAGCCCCTCAGGCAGTCTGGACTCTGAATTTAGCTGCCATCTGGTATCATCTGTAAATGACAATAGCACTGTATCTTCCCCTTTGCCTTAGCCCTGCCTGCACTTCGCACTCCCACTCCAAGCAACCCTTGAAAAGATTTCACTGCCTAGCTTCCCTGTCTGCTCTTAAGTATCAAGATACCTTGGGCTCTGGTTAATTTGGAAAGTTCTAAACAAGGTCAAGGCAAATGAGAGCCAAAAGTTTCCAGAACCATCAAGAGGATATAGCAAAAGACCACAGTGGGCCAAGTAGCCCCTCCCAGCCCTCTGTACCAATGTTTCTCAAAATACAGCTTCTAGAATAGTGGTATTGGAATTATCTAGGAACTTGACAAAAATGCAAATTCTCAGGCCCCAGCCCAGATCAATAGTCAGAAACTCTGGGGAGGGGCCAGCAATCTGCATTTTAACAAACCCTCCAGATCCTTCTAATAGAAGCTACAGTTTACCAGCTGCAGCCCTTGGCCTCTCACTGGTGCACTATTGACATTTTGGGAAGGCAATTCTTTGTTGTGGGTGCCGTCCTGTGTATTGTAGGATGTTTAACAGCATCCCTGGACTCTACCCACTAGATTGTAGAAGAACCCCTTCAGTTGTGACCATCCAAAATGTCTCCAGACACTGCCAAGTGTTCCCTGGCTAAGTCACCCCCATTTGAGAAACAGCGGTTCGCTATAGGTTCTATGTCTAATTGCTTAGTGCTATTTGACCAATGATTGCTGCTGTTAAAAAGTCTGTATACAGTACAGTGCTGTGTATGCAGTGCTTTTCAAGCTTTAATGTGCCTACAAGTCACCTGGGGATCTTGTTAAAAACCTGTTCTGATTCAGGAAACCTGAATTGGATTTTAAGACAGTGCATTTTTAACAAGCTAAAAGTGATGCCCATATTGCTGCTCTGCAGACTGCACTTTGATTAACAAGGTCCTACAGGATCCCGAAAGATTTATTGGATGAAGGATGAATGAATAATTAAAAGCCAAGGATTCCTTTTGTGGAATGCGTAGGAATTTTTCCCTTTGTCATTAAACTCCTCATCTCCAAAATTTTTCTTTCCTTAGTCCTATGTTTACATATTAAGAAAGATCAACTTTATTATAGCTAAGATAGCTTTCTATACAAACAGTACCAAGGATCTTTGCATATGAATCATACTATATTTAGAGATACAGGAGAATAAACACCCCAAATTCATTGACTAGCCAGTGAAAGATAGGATGGCCTATCACCATCCTGCTTCACTCAACTAATATCTTTTCAATACTTTCTCTGTGCAGAGCATGCTACTCAATTGCTCATTAAAAAAACAGATGTATGCAACTTGCATTAAATGAATACCTATAAGCTGTATGCTTTCACCATATGTATTTTCAAAATGATGTAAAAGTCATGTTTCCTGGGAGAGGCAAACGCCTTTTGGCCAAAAATACACATAAGAGAGAGAATTAGCCAGCAGGGCTAAGTGTTTTCATTGTCATCTCAGTTACTGAGAGACTGGTTTCAAATGATCTTCTATCACCATAGGAGAATGATAGCATTTGCAACTGCTAAACTGGCAGGGTAATTTCCTTCTAGAGCTAATGAATACCTGGTGCTTTCTTTGTTTCTCAGTCCATTGACAGATATGGCTCTGAGATACAAAGATGTCTTAAAACCTTGGGGATTGAGAGCTGGCCTTTTTTTTTTTTTTTTTAAGAAGTTCAAGAGCTTTATTTTTGCCCTAAAATTGGAAAAACAGACCAGCACACAATCAAATATTTCTATATACAAAATGACATTGTGTGATAGATAATAGGGAAAATATTAAATTTGACATGGTATTTTGCTTAAGACAGAACAATGTGGGATGCCTCAATTTCAAAAAGACACGAATGAGCTCCATGGGCTCATTTTCATTGCAGAATCCCATCATGCCACTGCCCTTCAATTTAAATTGTGCTTGTGTTGCCAATAAATCACTGGTCATAGATGAATACATTATAGTTAAAGTGCACTCAGAGCGCACATGCATTCTCATTTTACAATGTGTGTCAGAGACGTACTGTTTGGCAAGCCTGTTTCCTCTCCCTCCTTGGCACAAAGCTAGATAATAGTTCCTAGTCTTGCAGTTAGGTATGACCATGTAACCGATTTCTGAGCATTGTTGGTAAAACAGACAGGTTCTACCTTCACAGGTGGCCCATGAAATCTTCCCATGCATAATCCTCCATGCTCATATGGCTTCTGCTGGCTCGATGCAGATAAGCACAGTGACCTTGGAAGCCATGGTTTGAAGATGGAGAAGCCAGCATATGAAAAATTGAATTGAAATTCCTGGTCCCTGTTTAAAGGGAGGTGTCTGCTCACTAATCAGGAATGCTTGCTTTGGTCTTTACATAAGTGAGAAACAACATTTTCTCCTGCATGAACCAATGTACATTTTTTAAAAATTCATTTGTTTCAACTGTTAGCATTACCCTAATTAATATACAATAATATATTTTATATTTCTCATATATAATTTCTCATATATAATTGGTTACCCCAGCCTGGATTCCCTTTTTCTATTCTAGATTCTGCTGCCACATGTTGAATTTGGTTCTTCTTCCTCCTTCATCGCAGGTTCTAAATCATCATCACCTTCCTATAGGTCCTCATCATTGCTCTGTACTTACCGACGCTACCTACTTTTAGGCACCTGTCTTTAATTATCATCTTATTTTAGAGCTCATTGGTGGCAGATGTGTGATGCAGTCAGAAAAAGGAAAAAGGCAATAAAAAACGTTACCTCACTACTCCTGTTCCTGTTCTGTTAATATTTCCTTCTCCTCATCCTCTATCTCTTACCCTTTATCCTCCTTTGATTCTTTCCTATTTGTCATTATTTCCTAGATTTCTATTCTTGTTTCTCCCTATGTCAGAGCCTCATTTCTCTGCTTTTGACTGCGTAGTCTTAGCTCCCTCTGCGCCGCTAGCCTCTGGTGGTAGTATGGTCCCTCCATTGTGGGGCATCTCCTCATCTGGATATATAATTTTAGATGTAATAGAGGGTACAAATGTGGGAAGATTGCATAGAATGAGTAGAAAAAGTCCCAAGGCACTTCAGTGAGGGCAGTTTCGCATATGGAAGCCAACACATTGTTTTAAGAAGAGGGGAACAATCATGTTGAATGTAGCTGAGATGTCAACCATGATAGGAAAACATCCCTTATGCTTGGCAATTCTGAGCAGCATTCAGATGAAACCATCAGGAAGGAAGTTAGACTAGAAAGGAGTGACAGTATTAGTGGGAGAACTGGATACACACAGGTGCATATGGACAACTATTTTGAAAATTCTGTGAAGTGTAAAAAACTAGAGAATGAAGAAAATGGAGCAGAGAATAAATAACTTTTGATGGAGAAAGTGGGGTAATGAGGAAAAGGGTCAAGGAAGACATGAATAGGCAGAGTTATGGATCCATGTTGGGGTGATGAATAGCTACAGGGTATGAAGA